CCCCCCCCCCCCCCCCCCTCTCCCCCTTTTATGAATCCATAAATGCCACCATTAAGAGCAATAGAGCATGTAGGCCTTGTAATGCATTCCATCACCCATAGCGTAAGTAATATATTTTTGTGCTTGAATTGATTGTTTATGGATTTGATTGACGCGTTTTCTTCTCTTTTTGGTTCTCTCAAGCTATTTTTTTTCTTGATTTTTATATTTCTTTTAATTTTTGAAAAAAAAATAGAAAAAAACTTGTCATTGGCATGGCTAGGACACCCAGCCTTATTAAAAGAGGCAAACACAACTCAACTCGATGCGAATCTTGGCTTTCACGTATATTTATTCTTTTTTTATCATCGTTTTCCTAACGAAAAATTATTAATTTTAATTATAAAATGTTAATTAACTAAAGAATGTCTCTTTAAATTATATATTTTCTGAAAAATATGGTTTTGATTTTCTCTATATATTTTGGTCGTAGTGCTTATCTCCACTTAACTTCAACACATTGTCATTTTTTAAAATTGAATAATGTTATTTTTTTTCATCTGCGATAATCATCAATGTTGGTGGCATATGATATATATGTATTAATATTAAAAAAATTATTAAATATATGAATATGGAATATAAATCGTTTGTCTTATTATTAAATATCATTTGATAATTATTCTAAAAAAAATAAACTCTCTTTCAATTTTTACTGGATTCTATTTTTTGATCCATATTTTTTATTCAAAAACTCCTCATTCTTCTTTCATTTTATTAGTTTTCTAGTCTAGTCAATATAGATAACCCGTTACGTTAAATATAAAAGTTACTTATTTAAAAGTAATTTATAATTTATTTTTTATGAAAATAATTGCAGTCATAAAAATAGTAAGCCCCTGTTGGTTCCTATTTTTCTCATAACACTAAAATTTCGACTCAAGTATAAAAAAATAAGGATTAAAAACTAAGTCTAGTAAAAAGTAAGAGAGTGAAAATGAAATTTAGCATAAAAGACATATGCCGTGATTTGAATGGACATATTTTTTTTGAAAAATCTTTTTGAAAGAGAAACAAAGTAATAATTAAGGATTATGCTACGCGTACATTATGATGTTTATCACAGTATCCACCTCTCTCACATAAAGTGGACCTACTTCAAATAAAATATAATTTATATAGAGTGGGTCACCCTCCACGTGAGAAGGGTGTGTACCGTTATAAACACCGTATTATGTACATGTAATATATTTCAATAATTAAATATGATAGAAATATTATATGTTGTGATTTAAGTGGACTATCCCATCATATCTTCTCATTCTTCTATACATGCTGAAGAGAGCATATTTGGCTAAGCTTAAATTTTTTATTTTAAGTGAATTCACTTATAAGTTAGAAAGTTGAAGGATCTAAAGCTATTTTCAGAGATGATATTTCAAAAATCAACCACAGCAAGAAAAATTGAAAAACGTAGACTTTTTGCCATAAAGACTCAAATAATAAGTGAGTAATAATTGTTTATGTGTTTGTGAAATTGAGAAATACGTCATTTTAATGTATAGTAAGAATTATTTTCGAAAAAAAAAAAAGTAAGTACACTTGAAGTAAAACGATCACTTAAAATTAAGCCCCTATCTTGTGATTAAAATCAATAAATTTTGATAAAAGTTAATGAAATATGTGGTTAAAAAGTTGTGAATTCTACGAAATATGTGGGTACAATAAACTTTTGACTTTGAATAAAGGTAAAATTTAGATTTTAATCACTATTATTTTACTTTGCTGGAGTTAGTCAAACTACTCATGTGAAATGATAAAACGAAAAGGAAGGGGGGGGAATGGAAAAGGAAAGTGTATAACTACCAACCACGAGAAAAAAAAAAAGCTAAATACGGTAGAAAAAAGGACACGAATTCCGAAAATACCTGTTACACGTAGACAAAAATCGTGTTCAAATCATCATAATAAACGTGGCTGCTAACCCAAATTCAATGGACATTGGACAATATCTTCCTCAAACGGCCTAAAAATCATCAAGAAATTACATGCAATAACATCAAAGGACCCCCATATTGAATTTATTAGAAAAATGATGTTTTCTTTCATTTTCTAGAAGACACACTATAACCTTGTTTAGAGAGATCGAGAAAGAAGAAAGGGAAGAGAGGAAAAATGGCGATAGGAGTAAAGGCATTGGGTTTCTCCTTTGTGGCACACTTCCTGGGCATCGCTGGTGCGGTTATGGTGCTTGTTTGGTCTATAGGCTTCAGGGGTGGTTTAGCATGGGAAGCTTCAAATAAAAATCTCATCTTTAATGTAAGCTCATCTTCATCTGTGTGTGCATAATAACTAGGAAAACCAGCAGTCTTAACTGCTGATGCCTGCCCTTTTTATGTCGTACAATGCTACGTAGCACCACTGGTTCTTAGCATCAGTCGCTAACTGTCCGGTTGTCCAATGAAGTTAGGAGACAGTTAGGCAGTGAATTCCATGGCCAACTAAAACCTATACATTTTATCAATATTGTTGGGTCATAGCATTTATTGCTAATTCATTTGGCATCCGACTATTTGTTTTTTAATTGAATTTTCTATGTCGATAAGAATTTCTAATATGTGATATTTGTTGTCTAACTGAACAAAAACTAGTACCTTAAGTGAATCAATTAGGATCCAGAATTCGAGATAGAAAAAAAGATTGGTTGGTGGGTTTATCAGTCCCACATAAATGGAAGGTTGAAGGGATTCGAACATTCACACCGTGAGACTGTTTATGATATTAAGCGAGGACAAACTCAAGATGTGTGAAATTCTTTAATTTTTTGGCGGTTCGAATTCTTTGCTAATGTTGTCTAGGTAGTTTTCTATGCACTCTTTATCAAGGAACGTGTCTAGTAGATTTTTCCCCATAAAATGGTTCTTTTTTTCGAAAAATAACATAACCTTCCTAAAAGAAAGTTCATATAATATTTAAACTCAACTCTTCATTGATTTACATTACACACCATCTTTGTGTTTTTATCAAAATCCATGCCTAAACCTTGTGTTTATTTTGATAATTTCATTAGTTTAATTCCTTACTTGTGAATCTCGTAACTCAATTCTTTTCTTGTACCTCCAGATTCATCCAGTTCTCATGCTTATAGGGCTGATTATCATTGGAGGTCAAGGTAATTGAAGTTTAATAATAGATATACGGTACAATATTGTATATGTTAATTTACGAGAGTCATGTTCAATGCTGCGTACCTAACTTGCTCAAAATGTATAACTCTGAGAAGCTTGATGTTTTCTAATATTTTTTTCCCTCAATTGCAGCCATTATGAGTTACAAGTCCCTCCCATTAAATAAGCCCGAGAAGAAACTAATCCATTTAATTTTGCATGCTATTGCTCTCATACTTGGGATTATTGGCATATACACGGCATTCAAATATCACAATGAAAGCAATATTGCCAATTTATATAGTTTACACTCCTGGCTTGGACTTGGTGTTATTATTCTCTATGGCATTCAGGTAATGTTTCTATCTCTACACTAATTTGTTTTGCAAACTGAATTTACACATTTGATATCTCTTTTAGCAATTTTCTTATTTGGGTTCGCATTTTAACCTCCAAAAATTGTATACATGGATTGGAGATTTGTTAACCAAGCATTTTTCTGTGCCATGGAGCCTACACGACCCGGTTGCAAATACAGGCATGGCACGGCCTTACCGGGTTAAGCCGGGCTCTCACATGTGGGGCAGCCTATATATGAACTGTCTCATACATTTTGACACTTCTAGGCCAAAGCACTGGGGGCATCAATTCAAGCATGGCATTAATGATCCTAACTTCAAATCAAATGCTTTCCAATTTTCTAAACTATCACCCAAGATTTCCCCTTCTTATATTATCTAGCGTTTAATAATCTGCAGTGGATTTATGGTTTCGTGGTGTTCTTCTACCCCGGAGGTACAGAAACAATCAGAAGTGAGTCACTTCCATGGCACGTACTATTGGGCATTTTCGTGTATATTTTAGCTGTTGGCACCGCTACACTCGGATACCTTGAAAAGCTAACATTTCTTGAGAATTCGGGCCTTGCAAAATATGGCCCAGAGGCCTTCCTTGTGAACTTCACAGCCATTGTTACAATATTATATGGGACATTTGTTATCCTCACAATTCTTTCTCAGGGCCCTCCAGAAGATGATTATAGTTACTCAGCTATATAATGCCATCTCTTGCCATCTGCAGTAGCTTTTCCTGCCGGGATTTCTGTTTTCTTTGTTTATTCTATGTGGGTTGGTTTTAGGAAATTCATCTTGTCTATTGTGGACATGATTTAGAAATGCTATGTTAATTTTGCATGTAGGCTAAAGGAGTGTTAGCTTGTGTATCTTTGCATATATATAGGGTAATAATTGGAAAAAGCAATTTTTCTAATTATACTTTTTTGTATATATAAAAGATAAGTAGAATTAAAGAATGTCAATACAACAACCTGTGTTATTCCAAAATTAAAGAATGTAAGAATCAGCCTTTTTATATTAAGTATATGAAAAACACACAGCGTGCCTTGAGACCTTGCAAGTTTGATTCTTTGAGAACTATTGAGGGACCATGTCTCGAGGAAGAGAGTTGTTTAGAGCTACAAAATCATTTCAACATTTGCGCGTTCATACAAATTGCAAACAACGAGGGAATAAGGCTTTATGCATTATCATCTCTGATTGGCACCACACATTTCCATTATTAATCCGCTGTATTTGCCTTGCAGAATAGACGCGCACATTTTTTATAAGTGGCACCAAAAATTTTAACCAAGTACTTATTATGTTGATCATGTCTAAAAGTTTAATATATTAAATACCAATCATTTATTTATTTAAATTATACATCACAGATTCACATTTGATGTGGTATTTAACAGGAATATGAGATTTATATATACATTACATCGTAGTTTATGTTGAATTCACCAGGAAAAAGTTCAGCATATCCACTTTCTGATTTCTGATGCTCAAACTTGAACTGTTCTTGAAACATGTCATCAATAGAACTGTTTAATTTTGGCTGCATTTCACCAGCATATGTCACATCATTGAGCAGCAAATCATGCATGAAAACGTCTTGAGAATTTGAGCCATTGTTTTCTAAAGCATTTTTATAAGCATCTGGAGGGCTGTCTGAATCCCAGCCAAGAACCTGATCAAATTGGAGCCACTCCGCAAATAGAATTCTTGGTAAATTGCTTTTCTGTGCACAAGAATCCACCAATGGTCCTTCAATATGTTCAAATGATTCCAAACTCGACATCAGGGAAGAAGATTCGGTGTTCTCCATTTCTAAATTCATGCATTCAGCTTTACCTTGGTCCTCAGTTTCACCTGTTTTTGCCACCTTTTTCTTTAGATAAGAATGCCAATAGTTTTTTATTTCATTATCAGTTCGTCCAGGCAATTTCTGTGCTATCTGAGACCACCTGCACAAAAACAGTGTCCTATATTAAGGGATAATCCCACGTTGAATAAACATGAAAGTATAGACCAACTTATAAGGATCTGAACTACTCTCTTTAATAAAGTTTTCCTTTTAAGATAAAATCTCAAGTCTAATATGGTATCAGAGTCCATTAATCTATAATGAAATGAAAACTCAGAAAATGAGCAAAGAATGGATCAACTTATAAGGTTTGGACTAATCATCTTAATAAAGTGACCTTTTAACATGAAACCTCAAATTTTAAAATTCGTTTATGGTCTTTGACTTGATAGAACTGAACTTTATGTCATCATACCATTAGCAATTATGAGTAAATGAGTATCTTATTTTTTTTCCTTACTTGTTGCCTAATGTTTTGTGAAGATTGATGATAATCTCCTCCTCTTCTCGGCTAAACATCCCTCGTTTTAATCCTGGTCTTAAATAGTTTAGCCACCTTAACCGACAGCTCTTGCCATTTCTCTGTAAACCTGAAACAAATCAAAATGAAATGAAAACAAATATTTTTGTTTTTATTTTTTATGCTAATTGCTAGCCAAAGTTGCTCCAGTCTATATATTAAAAATAATAATAATAAAATTATTGTAATCATCAATATGTCTCCTCAGAACATGTATTTTAACAGAAAAATCTGTCATTGACTTCTAGAAGTTATTTTACCAGTTCCAGAATATATATTCCTAGAACGTGAAAAAATAATAATTATTATTATTATTCTTTATTTGCAATGACCTTTCTGTTTTAATTTATTATGAGTTATTTGATTGTATTGGACCAATGACTAATCGAAGTAATGAACATGATAAATATTATGACAGTGTTCATTTTTTAGAGTTCATTTCATGGAATTGTCTTTCCCAACTACTTTACCTATTGTTAACAGAACTGATATCTCGATGATCCTAGAATTAGTGAAATAATATAAGTTAATCAAACATGACTTGCGACGTTTATATCTTAACAAGAATCCGTTATGAGCATAATCAAATCAAACAAGAGACTGACTCTCGAAATAAATGGCGTGAAACTTGTACTCACGACTCGCTCATATGCCATTTGGAATATACTCACCAGCATTGATGGAAACATTGGTCCAGCAGCCATGACCATGCTTGAGTACATAGTTTCTAAGCCTCTGGTCTTCGTCTGGAGACCATAATCCCTTTTTGTGCTTCTTCTTTCCCTTATCTAATGCCTTGTTATACCCCATTAATCTCAAAAAGAGTTTTTTCGAGGGAGTAGAAAGGGATGAAGAATAGAAAGTTGTTGTGAGGATAGCAAACCCTTGAACTGTATGCATGAATTTAAAGGAGGGGTTAATTGAAAATGATTTTTTTTATAAGCAATAAAAAATGTACCTTCTAAGGTTTTAATATTCCTAATGTTCATTTGACCTGGGGATTTGATGGTAGCTGTCCCCTTCAAGGAATTTTTAGAAATCCTTGGCAAGAGTTGAGATCAAGAATACATTCTTATAGGTTCTTTTTCAATAATCTATTACCATAGGACGGCTAAAATTAGGCATAAATTTGAAATTAAGTGAAATTAGAATATGCAAATGGCACTGAGAATTTTTTACAAGTTAAAATCGATTAGAAGGAACAATTTGAATGGTTGAAGTTAACATATATGAAAGGACAACTTTGACCAACACTAGAACCAAAAGTCATTGAAAAACTACAAGACGCATGATATTGAGAATGAGGAAGCTTAGCAAAATGTGTGACTATATAAAAATACGACATAGCTAGATCGATATAATATTGAGTTTATGAGTCGACTAGACTACTATTAGCATATGTTAATGTTTCGAGTTGAAACTCAATTTTAAACAAGTGTATCAAATTCATATAACCTAAACTTTGCCATGCAGAAACACAAGATGAATTTTTGGGTGTGCACAAAAGATTAGAACAAATGAGTGCTTTCTAATTAATTATGATGACAAGAAATTTCATGGTGGTGGTGAAGTCCTCCATGGTAACGCAGCAGTGGAGGGATGTTGACATTGATAGAAAGTGTCGTAGACTAAAAAGGTCATGTTTTGAGGGGTGCCGTGATGATCGTGTGAGACAATGATGATGCAAACGTTCATTTGAGTAGGGTTGTCGGATATATGCAAACAAAAATTCAATATTTACCATACATGAATGCCATCTTGAGTTTATAAGGAGAATGAGCTATTTTACTTAAGGTTGACCTTTTGGATGGAAACTAAAATCCCAACAAGAAACGAGGTGCTGGGGTGTTTAATTCAATGCTCAGGTTCGTTATTACCGTAGAAGTTTGATCATTTACTTATGTTGAGGAAATAACACTTTTATATATGTTTCGTTGTATTTTAAAGGGAGTGCAATTGGGACTTTTGAAAATTTTTATATATTTTTCTAAGAGCTCACCTTTATGAATTTCGTGGACTTTTATAGATTTATATTGGAATTTATGAAAGTCTCTGATAGACTTCTATAAACTTTCATTTTAAAACGTTTTTATAAATTTTTGTAGAATTCAAAAGATTTTTGAAAAAATTTATTTAAAATAGAATTAAAGTGGGTTTAGTGCAATAGTATGAAGTTCTCACATACGAGGTAGTAACTCCTACGATTTCCTTTTCGCTCCCCCATATAATAAGAAATATTTTTAACATAATAAAAATTTAAGTCACCTTTATATATAGAGAATTTTCATAAAAAAAAATAGAGATAAACAATAAGAGGGAGGGAGGGAGAAGAAAAATGAAAATAGAAATAAATATAATCGGTAGAAAAAAAATTAATCTTTTAATTATGATTCTATTATTTGTATAATCTTAAAGGGAGAAATATTAAAAGAAACAAAAAATACTTATTAATTTTTGTTTCTGCTGAAAGTCTCCCAAGATCTTGAAATAAATGAGAGACAAATTTTGAAATTTATTTTTGTACTTTTTATTTAAAAGTTAGTACCATAGAGATTTTTATACAAGTTTTTTAAAATCATTTACAATTTGAATAGCTCGCGATTTATAATGATTTCTAAAAGTTTTAACGAACATACTGTAATTTTTAAAGATCTTTCAAAATTCTATAAAAGTCTTGATAAAATACACTAATACTTTTAGAGAGTTTTAAAAAATCTACATTGAATATTTCTAAACTTTTTAAACTTCAAAAAGTGTTTAAAAGTCTCAATCGAATGCACGCTCCTAGATGTAAGTTTTCTAGACTTGAATGCTAAAAACTTAAGGACCCATTTGGTTGCATTTTTATTTTCAGTTTAAATTCATTTTTTATTTTTTTATTTTGAGGGTGGATTTTAACATTTTGAAAAATATGTTTGATTTGACATTCTAAAATATTATGAAAATTAGAAAACGTGTTTGATTTGAAATTTGCAGAAATTATTTTATTATATTTTAAGTCTACAAAACTTGATTATTTTGTATAATAGAATAATTTTATGTTGATATATTATCATGCAACATATACATTTTAAGTTGATAAATTTTATAATACCTTTTCCAATACTATAGTAAAACAAAAACAAATAATAAATTGAGTAGGCAAAACATAAAAAAAAAACAAAAAAGCAAAAAAAAAAAAAAAAAAAAAAAAAAGAGACAAAAAAATTTGATTGATTTTGGAGTTGAAATATTGAAGAGTGTATTGGTCGAAATATGTAATCTATCGAGATGTTTGATGAGATATCTAGCTATATGCTTGGAAGTCATTGAATCTTCATATCCTCATTTTCATATAACCTAACACAAACCAAAAAAAAAAAAAAAAAAAAAAAAAAAAAAAAAAAAAAAAAAAAAAAAAAAAAGAAGAAGAAGTAGGCTGAGAATTTCTCTGTGTTCATTTAAATATATAGACATATTTTTTGAAATTTTTTATGTTGTGACAGGAATTTAAATCAGATTTTTAGTAGATTTTGATAGAAGTTGATGAAATATGTGGTTGACAAGTTGTGAGATCCATAAAATATATTATTAAAATTAATTGTTAACTTTGATTTAAATTAATTTCTAACAAACAGGAACTAAGAGAT